TTTCAGTGTCCATTCATTAGTTGATGGACATCTATCTATGCTGCTTCCATATTGTAACTATTGTTAATGGAACAGCCATGAATGCTGATGTGTGTGTCTCTGTGGTGGGAAATGGAGTTCTTGGGATACATGCCCAGGAGTGGTGTAACTTCGTTGTATGGTAGACCAATTTCTGGTTTTGTGAAGGTGGGCACACCAATTCTACAGGGGCTGCACCAATTTTCATTTCCACCAACAGTGCATTGGGATTCCTCATTTCCCACATCCTCCTTTGCTGGTTTTTCATATTTTTAGCCATTCAGATGGGGACAAGATGAAATATTAAAGTAGCTTTAATGCATATTTTCCTGACAGCTAAAGGTAAAGACACTTTCGTTTTTTAAAGTTCTTTTATTCTTGACAATTTCATACATGTACACAATGAAATACGATTCTCTTCAGGTCTATTTTCCTTCCATCTGCCCCATACCCTGTTCAACATGTCTCCACCTATCATCTACCTTTCTTATAAAATTCAGGCTCACCTGCCTAGGAATGGTTCTTTCCATGGTGGGCTGGAACCTCCCACATCAATTACCAGCCAGAAAAATGCCCCTACAGACTGCCAGCAGGCCAATATGATGGAGGCAACTTCCCAGTCAAGAATCCCTCTTCCTAGGTGTGTAAGTTGACAGCTGAAGCTAACTATGATACACAGTCTTTCAGAAAACCCTCAGTTGGTATCAACTGTGTTCAAGGCTTAGAATAGATTTAGTATTTTGTCTCATTCAATTTTACTAGTTTTGTTCAGTTCCAAACCTGGAGCAAAAGGCTGAAGTGCCCATTTAACATGTGAAAATGGGGACTGGCTGCCAGATTCTCCCTGCATCCTTCAGTCCCTACCCGTTACAGGGTCCTCCCGCCTGGAATACCCCACCTCCTACTGAACTCCCCAGCACAGGGGACTGGCCTATTCTTCCATATGCAATTTAATCATTTTGGTTACCTGGCCTCTTTGGGTCTCTTGGCTGCCTCATCTGGTTCCTAAAAATTGTACTGCTTTCTTTCAGGAAAGGATTCAGTTGTAGCTAATGAATTGTTTCAGGTCATTGGTATGGAGAGGAACCTACTCTCCAAATACAAGTAAGACCTGCCAAACTATTCCGTCCCCTCACTATCTTACTTGATGAGGTTTCCATAAGATCATCCATTTGGGCTTTCCCCAAGGCTGCCTCCTTCTGCATGATACTTCTTTCTCTCTCTTATGCTACTAATTGGCATCTTTTTTTTTTCTTTGTAAGTATGTTGTCTGAAAAGTCCAGGGCAATGGTGTACGCATGTTCAGAAGATCCCAGCCATGGTCAGAGTAGAAAACATAACCAATACCTCAAGGAGATAAATGTGGTATGGGCTGGGCTTAGGCCCTTGACTTCAGTACTGGTGTGTGTGTGTGTGTGTGTGTGTGTGTGTGTGTGTGTGTGGTGTGGTTTATGGTGCAATGGCACAAGCCCACAAGTCTGCACAGCAAAAGTACAGCTGGCAGACCAAGAGACAAATTCGCAGGAATGTATTGTGCTGGAGATTCCAGTTTTCAGACTTCTGGGAACACCTGCCTTTTGGATAAGTTACTGTCAATTCTGTAGAAATCTTGTGGAATCATGATATTTCTCCCTTCTATAATATCCCAGCGGTATGTAAATCATTTGTTGAGATAATTTCTTCCTGTGTGGGCACCTGGATCCCCTCTCTCACACCGTGAAGCCCGGATGTGAAAGCATTCACTCAGCCAAACCTTTGTTCTAATAGTCAAATTTGCTAAGTTAGTCCCCCACAATTACCTTTCTTGACAGGACTTATTGACAAGAAAGGAGCCCCAAACAGGAGGCACTAAACAGAGAGACAGTACGTCTGCTCTAATGACAAGAAAGTCTGGGTGGCCCTGAATTCTCTAGCAGCAGACTCAGGAAGGTGGTGGAATCTACTGGCCTTTTGCTCTAACCCAACAAGCTACTAATAGTCTGTATTTATCCTTCACCTTGGTTTCAATTAACATAAGATCATAGCTCAGGAAAATTAACAGTTTCTGCCTTTACCCCTAGAGATACATGAAAAAGACTTGAGTCACTAACCCAGCCTCAGGGAAAGAAATTCTCACTGGGTACTGGCAGGTACGCTGCTGGAGCTGAAAGCAAAATCTCCAAAGAGTTTCCCCTCCCCCTCTGGCAGCTAGGTACAAATCAAGCATCTTGCCTTCCTCCCAGGCCCACAGGTTGCTATGGCTACTAAAGGTATGTTCCCAGCCACCAGGGAAGTGGAAATGCTTAGAAAGCACAGCAGTGCTGCTGCATTTTCCTACAATTATCAACCATAAACTCCTAGTTACAGTTAAAAATTGTAGTTAGTGCGCGAGAAAGTCTTCTTAGAATTCTGTCGTAATTTAAAGTCCCATTCTTAACTAATCCTCTTGATATATGCCGGGAGCTTCACAGCCACACCCCTACTCTGAGATGTAAGAGGCCTTCCTTACCTGCCTCTGTGACTCTAAAATGTGTGTTTGATGCTGTTGTCACCGCCTGTGGAATTGCTAACTTGTCTGTACGCCTCTATAAACTGAAAGCCTTGTGGAGAATGTTTCTTTTTTCTTCCTCGCCCAAGGAATAAAGAAACCTGCAGAAGAAAGGTTCTTGAGTTGGTTTGTTCTATCCTTCAGATCCCTTTTCCCAGCCAGTTTTCGCTTGCTGTAGACATACTGTTTTGAGGGAGCTCTAAGGCCGGTACTTAGTACACCCTGATTGTCCGTGTGTGCACAAGCGTGTGCGTAGGTTGTGATGTGTGTGTGTGTGTGTGTGTGTGTGCGTGTGTGTGTGTGTGTGTGCTGGTGCTTGTGATTGAACCCAAGGCCTAATGAATAAAATTCTAGGCAAGCACTCAACCTCTGAGATATAGTCCCAGATCTCCACACCCCCACATACTGGTTTTCTGATTTTCCTTTAAGGATGTTAAAATAGTTTGGCCAGATGTCTTCGGGCAGCCTTTCAGAAATACCCGTGTGGAAAGGCTCAAGAGTAGGTGAAAACATTGCTGCTTCCTTTCCTTGTGACATAAAAGTCATTCTGCCCTCATACTGCTACTGAGCGCACTAGGTAAACTGAGGGAGGAGTGAGGCAGCTCAGCAACCTTCAGCTTCCAGCTTCCCCAGCTGGCGTTGCCTGTCTGAGAACACAGAGTTCTTATCTCGTTTCCTGAGCCAGGGCGCTCTGTGATCCCAGCCTGTGGCTGGGGAAAGAGCCTCAGGGGCTGGCTGTGCTGCTCTGCTGATCTAAAAAGGCTTCCATCCCTGCATTCCCAGGAGGGCGTGGAGCAGCACAGCTGATAGTATCATCCCGATGTTCCCCTGGCTTGCTTAGTTTTTTTCTCTTCCAAACAGCTTTTATATAACTCCTGATTTCCTACAGCTTCACATAGCCACCTTTGAGTGTAAGGATCTACCATGTAGTCAGTCGCTTCTGCATAAGGAAATGGGAAAGTAGTTTGAATCATCACAGGTAGATAGGACCCAAATGGAGCTCCATTCCCCAGTAATAAAACTACCAGGACAAAACTCAGTCCTTCCAGAGACAGGAAAAAAAATCTGTTAGGTCGGCTCCAGGACAATACACAATAACGTGTCTGACAGACTGCCACAGAGGAAGGTGTGCAGTTTTGCAAAGGCATGTGATGGCTTTCTTATTTGTTTCCAGGGTCTCATGTACCCCAGGCTGGCCTTTATCACTTTCTGTTTCTATGTCCAGAGTGCAGGGTCTGTAAGGGTGTAACATCATCCTCAGCTCAAATCTCCAACTTGATTTAGCAGAACACAGAAGAAAGCGCCTTCATTCCCTTTGACCCGGGCTCCGAACTCCTAGAGGAAGGGGCCAGGTAGCCTGGAGCCCTGCAGGTGCTTCTATTTCAGGTTGAGGGAGAGGGACCCGTATAAAGCTAAGCACCGTGCTGGACTAGCACATGCTCCCTGCGAACTGGGCACCAGGCAATGCATTCTGCTTACTGTGCCCACAGGCTGTGCGTAATGATTTTCTTGGAGCTTATTCTCCAGCCCCCACCTCTGTGATTAGGTGTACCTGGTATGGTGGTGAGGAGGCTGTGTGTTCCGAAGACCCTTTATGTCCTCAGGGATTGGCTGCTCTTGCCGGTGGTCACGTTTTTGGGTCCCTACTGCTAGGTCCACTGTCCTCGTGGTTTCTGTTGTCAGTAGTGAGCGATTATGCCCCCCCCTTACTTCTTCCCTTTCCCTTTCTCCCTGCCTCTTCTGAAGCTGCAGCTACTTGTGCAAGTTCCGGTTATTCATCATCTCATCCTCCCGTCTAGCCTGCAAGATCGCTACTGCATTCCCAGCTGGAAAAGAGGAACCATAAAGAGAATCATCCAGCCTCTAGGCCCACGTGCTGGGGAAGGCATGGTGAAGGGTCGCAGCCTGAGCCAGGGATGGGCACCATCTGCCCACTCTTCTCTCCAGGGGAATACTGGGTTTTAAATAGATCATTAAAGAGCCACCTTTGAGGCTGGGTGGTGGCGGCGCACGTCTTCAATCCCTGCACTTGGGAGGCAGAGGCATCTTTGAGTTCGAAACAAACCTGGCCTACAGAGCGAGTTCCAGGCCAGCCAGGGATACACAGAGAAACCCTGTCTAGAAAACCCAACAAAACAAAATGAAACAAAACAGAGAAGACACTTTTCTATGTGGCCATCGGTGTGTGTGAACAGAACTTCGGCCTCCAGGTGTTGGATCAGATGGTTGCTCTAGTCTTGGTGAGCTATCTTGCCAGGAAAGAGCTGGCACGGAACTGTCTGAATTAAGGGGAGGCAAAGAAATACCCGGTGTGACCTCTGACAACCTTTCTGCCTCGCTGCGTATCTTACCAAAGTCAGAGCTGCCCGCTGAGCTGTGACCTGGCGTCTCAGGTTTTGCACACCCACATGCCCGCATGCTGTGCCCTTCTTGCAGGCACGTCGTGCTCATTACATCCCCCAAACTGCCGCTGCCAGTGCGCCTCGAAGGCTCAACCCACAGGAACCACCAGTGAGCAGAAAGCAAAACCAACAAGCCTAGGACTGGATACGCTGGAAACTAAATTGGGCCTGAGGAGAGCCCTTCCAGGTTGAGGACTGCAGCTCGCTCATTCTGGTCCCCAGACACCAACATCTGCAGAAGCGTACTTCGTCATCGACCATATTCAGAGTATGGCGTCTCAAGGCTGCTGTCGGGCCATCACCTGCTTACTCTGCCTGGGAGTCAAGGAGGACCAGGAAGAGCAGCACGGTCAGTAGCGGTATCGAATTGGTGTTTTAGTGATCGCCAGGAAGCAATCCCTGGCTTCCCTGGCAGAAGGGAATGGGTGGAGCGGCAACACTCACCGTCAGGTCAGCTCACTCCATACATAGCTCTTCATTGCTTTGTCTCACCTTATCGTGCACACTGAGCCCCGATGCCCTGATCTTTTTCTGGCTGTTTCCTCTTTTCCAGATGTGAAAGCACAGATGATCTTTCAGGCTGGAGAGGGGAGAGAGAAGAAAGGTGTGGGAGTGGGAGCACGGCCTGGAGTGGGAGTACAGCCTGGAGTGGGAGCACAGCCTGGAGTGGGAGCAGTGGGAGCAAACAGGGAAGGAGAAGAATTAAATGGAGGAAAAGAAGGCCCCTTTGGTCCTGGTGTTCCAGGTCCTGTGGGTGATGGGAAGAAAAATGGTGGCACCAGCAGCAGTGGCATGGAGCAAGAGCAAATGGAGCTGGTTACTGAGGGCACAGAGAGTCAGAAGAGCCTAAAGCCTCCAGAGAGGCCAATGGCCGGCCACCACCTTCGGTTCAACCAGCAGCAGCTGGAGCAATTGGAGACCATTTTCCAGCGCAGTCATTCTAGCAATGAGCCAGCAAGGTGAGCAGATGCTCCTTACCTTGCCCATAGTGGGCAGTTTTCAGAGAACACATGCTAATTCAAGGTGATCTTGGTTCTCTCCCAGGGTCCCCTCATCCCCTCTTGAAAGAAAGGCCACCTGGCAACTCTAGACTGCCCAACTTTATCCTCCTGCAGATGGGTGCTGGGGTATGACGAAAGCTAGGGCAGTCGCGAATGAAGCTATCTTCTTGCTGTATTTAAATGAGTCCGGTTGGAGACTGCAGCCAGGCAAGGTCTTGCCAGAGCAGAGAGAGAAGCCTGAGGTCTGGCTGGTAAAGCGCAAGCTGGAGTTCTGCCTTTGCCTGAAATTTTATACCTTTTCATCTCTCGATTGCTTTGTGTATCTTTAAATTACATTGGACCATGACATGTTTTGATTAATGATTTTTTTTTTTTGGCTTCCCCTTTAAGTTGGTACCGGGTGGTGGTGGGAGAACTCAGGGTAAATTAAGCCTCAAGGTGGGTGCTGCAGACACTCATGGGGGCAGAAGGAGGGATTGATAGGACAAACATTGAAGCATGAATATGATATATACTGTGCCTACTTTAATTTCATCCACAGGACCACATACTGAACGGTTTTTTTGTTTTGTTTTGTTTTTCCTTTTAGGAAGGATCTCGCAAGATGGATGGGTGTAAGTGAGTCCAGAGTGTAGGTCGGTAATCTGAAAAAAAAAAAAGCAGTTTGGCAGGATATTCATTCTAAAACTCACCTGAGATCTTGAATACCTTTGTCCTAGAAATATTGAGTTGGTGGACTGTTGTTGAAGTCTCTAGGTTTGGGGAGGGTCTTTAAACTCTGTGGGTACAAAATGGAGTCAGAAAGCCCCAGCATGTGAGAACGTGACTTCCTAAAGGGAAAAAGAATATTACTGCCCTTTACATAATGGTTGGGTAAAGAATGATGCAGAAATCATCCAAATTTGGCCTGGGGGGATGGCTCAGCCGGTAAAGGCTAGGCTCACAACCAAAAATATAAGAAATCTTCCAAATTTATGAATCTATGAGCTCTGTGTTATTATTTCTAATAGTAAATTTAAGCATAAATTCTAAGAGGAAGGAGGGACTTTGTAAATCTTCAGCTATTGTAGTGATGGGGGTGAGAAGAGCATACAACGGCCTGCTTCTCCTGGCTTTGCTGCTTAAAATTCACTACCTTACTGGTAAAGCAAGGCAGTGAATGGCAGACCTGAATTTAAGTTGTCTGGCACATCTTGGTGTGTCATCCTGATGTATGAGGAGTCCACATATGACGGTGTTTACCCATAATGCCACCACCCTGGAGGAGAAGATCAGGAGTTCAAGGCCAGCCTGGGCCACATCAGACCTCGCCTCAAATAAAAGCAGACAGATGCGCATGCCTCAAACCCACACATTCATGTTGTTAGTGAGTGTCTTTCTGATACCAGATCGTTTGCCTCATCCCTGGCAGGTATCATGAAGAACTGTTTTGTGTGATTTGTTGATGGTGGGGGCTAGACCTCACTGTGGGTTAAATTTTTACCTGTGGTAGTCTGGAATATTTTTTCCACTTGCTTGGGCAGAGGTAAGTGGATTTGCAGCTCACTGGACTCAGAAGTGGTCGTGTGAGAGCAGGGGAAAGTCCAAGCTGTACAGGAGCTCTTCTGGGAAGAAGGAAAGTAAAAGATTCAAAGGGGGCATCGGGATAATGGCATTAGGTGTATCTCTGAGTTCCCTCGTGTGTGTGCACTAACGGAAAGGCCCTGAAGACTGGGGAGATGGCGTCTCTAGAATACTAACTGTTCTCAGGCCCCTAAGACTACACCCCAAGGCCACACTCCAGGCTCAAGCCAGGTCTGGCTCAGGGCTCTCTGGGCACAGTGCGTGCAGTATGGCATTCGCTTTCTGAGGAGTTCAAAGGCAGTCCTGGAATGGAGAAACTGGCAGTTTCCAAGCTGCTTTGCCCTGCCCTCAGTTTACCTAGTGTGCTCTCAATGGCCCTCTGAGGGTAGAGTGATCCACATGCCACAAAGAAGGTGAAAGATTGTGTTTTAAAATTCAGACATTATAACATGAATGTCTCCAAAAGGCTTGTCCCACACCTCGTCTGCTCTGCTTTCTGAGCATCATCAGAACCATTTTGTGAGTGTCCTGGCCGTGAGCGTGGTCCTCATTTCCCTCCCTGGAACTGTTGGTTCGGTTTGTAAACATTGCTATTGCTATGTGCTGAATTTGCAGGCCAATAACTTAAAAGGGAGAAGTGCTCCCTCTAGTGGCACAGGAGAAAGAGGCTGCATTCAGAAAGAGCCCTTTGCCTCACCCTATATACAAACTGAATGGTCGGAGTTTACTACAGAGCCTGAAGTGTTCCTGTTGCTCACTGGGGTTTGCTGAAGGAAGGGCGCGGTGTTTTCTGTCCTAACAGGGTTCTTCAGGCCTTTCCCCTGTAGCTCTGTGACTGGAAGCCAGAGTTCACACACATTGAGCAATTACTATACCCTCAGTCCCTCACTGAATTAGAACAGCACGAAATGAAGGGCTTCTTTGTGTGGAATCTATGATCTCACAAGTTGGGTTGAACCTATAACTCAGGGATAAAGCACTTGTCCTGGCATATTTGAAGCCCTAGGTTCAATCCCGAGTACCCACCAAAAAATTCAACCAAATGTCGCTGGTTTTTTGTTTGTTTTATCCACATGCTGTTTAGTGTACTAATGCGGTCCCTTATCCTTCCGAGTGCAGGACTAATTTAAGATTCGGAGAGTCGCACACAGAAGAAATGGGAGGAGGAGGAGGAGGACCAGAAGTGCACCATCTGGGCCCTAGAACACCTGTCCCTGAAGATTTCAGTGTCACCCTAGTACCGGAGCAAGATGGGAATGGCTTTTTCTTGTGCCACCAACATCTCAACTGCCTACGCTGGTCACAGCAACCCTTACTTCTCAGCCATTCTTTTAGCAATAAAGAGGTGGATTCTCAATATGTCTGTTCCATTGCCTTTGCGATTTCTAAAATATTGTTGTAAATATCTTAGTGATTCTAGTGTTATAGAAATGTCCCTTAAACAGAATAACTAAAAGGTATTCTTTCATAATGTGGCATAATTGAGTCATCTTCCATATTCCCTATACATCACAGAAACTCTGCCAGTATAGTGATGGGTCACACTGACCCATCACATCCTCCATTGCCACCCCCTGTCACTGCGCTGCCTTCAACTCACCCCACTGCTGCACATACAAGGAAGGACAGGGAAAGCTCCTGCTGAGAATCAGTGTGTTCCCAGTGTGTTTTCCAGTACTGCAAATGACTGGGGGGGTGGGTGGGTTCTCTGATGATGAGCTCAGTAGTCCAGGAGGTAGATGCGTCCAAAGTGGGGTGAGGGCAGTGGGAATAGCCAGCAACTACCTAAGGCCAGTTCCACTCCAATCTGGGCCCTTTATTGAGCAAGGTTTCCAGATCCACCCCTGCGTGGTCCTGGGCACTCATCATTTCTGTTCCCGGTTAGCCTTGGGCAAACTGACAAGTGCTTTTGGCATTATTATTCTCATTTTGTCCACTAGAGGTGACAGGCATTCTTAAAATTGTTCCCATTCAGTTCATGAGGAGGGGACAGGCACTCTTGACATTGTTGTTCAATTTAGTTCATGGTGGGAGGGGGGCAAAAGTCACTCTTGACTTTGTCTTTCAAAACCTTTTATCCATGAAGGCGTGAAAACCACTCTTGACATTGTCGTTCCCATACAGTCTGGCCCATTGTGGGGTGTGCCATGCCTGGACTGGTGGTCCTGGGTTCTATAAGAAAACTAGCTAAGCAAACCATGGGGATCAAGCCAGTAAGCAGCACCCTTTCGTGACCTCTGCACTCATTTCTGCCTCCGGGTTCAGCCCTGTATGAGTTCCTGTCCCGACTTCCTTCACTGGTAGACTTTTATGTGGGTGTGGAAGCCTAATAAATCCCTGCATCATCAACTTGCTCTGGTCATGGTATTTCATCAAAGCAGTAGTAACTCTAGCTAGGACAGTCCACAAGGGGACAACAGGCACTCCTGCCATTGTAGCTCCCACGTACTTCACAAGACCACTCCAGGTCCTGGCAAGAGCGCCCTGGGCTTGCCTAGAACTGCTTCCAAAGTTCCTTCTGCTTTAGGCAGTTGTACATGGCAGGTCCTAGGGTCACAATGTTACAGGGAACCCCCCAGAGATGACCACTCAGACCCAGTGTGTAGCCAGCTGAAAGTCTTTACTCCAACTGACTGGGGCCACACCCAAATGTTTGGGGCAACAGGCAATGGGACATTTCCAGCCTGGACGGAGCACCCATGCCTGTCAAATGAAGCATGCTCTCAGAGTCCAGCTCAACAGCCATTAGAAAAGACCTTACGATTGGCCCCAGATTATAAGATCCAAGAGCATCAGCTCGAGGTCAAGCCGAGCTCTCTCTCTGTAATTAGAGGTTTAACTTGGAAAACAGTGTTATCTATGCAAAGAAGGCACTTCTGAGCGCTGACCATCCCCTGTTGAGGAAAAGCTGGAGAAGGCCATGGTGTGGTGTCTGTGACAAAGAACCACACGTGAGTGGTACCCCAGAGCCATTAGGCCATACCAGTTTGCCCAAAGAAAGCTGCAGTGACCTACCTACATTAACACATACACCAAGTGTGTGGCAAAAACGGCAAATTCCAGATGGCTGGGTGAATTGGCTGTATTGTAATTTGACCTGCGGACAGTGGCCCAGTTGTTTGGGAAGTATATTATATTCTGTGTAGTCGGTGTTGAAGTATATTATATTCTGTGTAGTTGGTGTTGTAAAACCTTTTCAATTTGCTAAACAATTTTTTAAAATTCTTTTTAAATTGATTTTTACTGAGCTCTATATTTTTCTCTGCTCCCTTCCCTACCTCTGCCCTCCACTCCCCGTCAACCCTTTCCCGTGGTCCCCACACACCCAATTTACTCAGGAGATCTTGTCTTTTTCTACTTCCCATGTAGATTAGATCCATGTATGTCTCTCTTAGGGTCCTCATTGTTGTCTAAGTTCTTTGGGGTTGTGATTTGTAGACGGATTTTCTTTGCTTTATGTTTTAAAACCACTTATGAGTGAGTACATGTGACAATTGTCTTTCTGTATCTGGGTTACCTCACTCAAAATGATGTTTTCTAGCTCCATCCATTGGCCTGCAAAATTCAAGATGTCCTTATTTTTTTTTTCTAAGAACTGGACTGAGAGGGGAAATAACAGCCAGCTTTTCGTCATTTATTGGCTTGTGAGAGTACCCTCACAGTGCATTTCCCACCTAATTCATTACTTTTTAGCTTGTAGTGCTTTGACACGCTATCCCTGTCATACTTCCCACTCATAGCTGCATTAAGTGTCTTTGGTCTCTGGTGTTCATAACAATAAGCACGGTGTTCTTGGGGCACTGGGGAAACAAATGCATTTCAAGTGACAATAATGATCAATGTCTAGCATTTTCCGTGCCCGCCTTTATCTTGGATGATAACCCACCACCACTGGACCAGCCAACTCCCCCTCCCTTTAGCTCCACGGCAGCACCACACCCCAGCCAGGGATGTTACTGTTTCTCTACTTCACACGCTAGATGGTTCTCTGTTAGGAGGAGGGCAGTCACCTGCCATCTCATAGCTACTATGGGAAGAACGAAGCTAACAGGGTTCTGTGAAAGTTCCATGT